TATATATAAAGAACCAGAGTCCTATTAGTGGTCACAAGAAGCACATAAGGCGGCGGATGGTTTCTAGTTGGTATAGACACATCATAGGTAGCCATTGTTGTTAGTGAAGCCGCTTATAGCAAGTTTGGGTTCAGTACACAAGAGCAAATGAATTTGATGTGGCTAGAAATTTGATTGTTTCGAAGAGAATATGCTTTGTGTTAGTGGCATGTGAAAATATCATCCAATGTGAAGTTGCCATATGAGGCTTTTCCATTAGACACAATGTCATTTTTCATCATCTACCTTAAACATATCCCTTTAAAAGGATACTTTTTTATGATCTTGAAGTGTTAATGCATTTGTCGATGTTTCTTACCACCGACTAGTAAATTAATATCCACGTGTTTTATACGGATGAATGGCTAGCATTCGGCAATTCAAGATTTATACTGGTTCGAGCAAGAACCCTATGTCCAGTTGGGTGGTATCGATCATGTTCAAGAGCCTAAGCACTCAAGTCTGTAGTAGGGATTGCAAATGGGTATGAATATCGATATTGGAAGGTTGCGCGACGAGTCATGAAGGGCTTCAAAGAAGTTTCAAGATGATTCGAAGAAGAAGTGAAGGAGGCCCATGTCGCCCCTGAGGGCCAGGATTACAAAAGAGATGAAGAAAGGAAGAGGGCTCCTCCACATCAACTAGTCTTCATGAGAACCCATTGGGCGTGCATTGTGGCCTTAAGTTGTCGCTACTATCAGCATTCTGCCACGGCGGTTGGTGGAACAAAGTGGCTATTGAGGTCGGCGAGACCTGTCCCGACTTCCTATTCAGCATAGTGCTGAGTGTGTTGGGCCCTGGGCAGGTGTGCTCATCAACATCCAATCCGGCAGATTGCTTGCAACTCCTAATTCTCTAGGAGGCGTACGTTGATTAGATCAAAAAAATCTTGTCCATCCTTTGTAGAATAAGATTCCGTAGCAGCTACTGACAAATGATGATGATGACAAATCTTTGATACATTGGGAATGATTTATTGAAAACTGTTGGAGAAGGTCTTATTTAGTGCTCCCAATACTTTTTTTGCGACTTAGAAAACTTCTTGGTTTTAGAAATAAATTCTCGGTACTCTTGGAGATGCTCTAATAAGCTAATAATTAAGCAGATACTTTTAGTTGTCCTTACTAATTATCTTTGTATAACCTTCTTGTTTAATCGGTCGAATGAATCAGACTATTTTATCACTATAAACGTCTATGACATGAAGCAATCTAAATTTTTTGTTCGAGTTTATTTATTTTATTTTATTTAAAAAAAGGAAAGCGACAAAGATTGATACCGCAGCAACAACCATGTACTAGAACTCCAGCAACGAAACTCAAGCCGAGCAAGGATCAAGTCCAGGATAGGTGTGGGCCGGCCCGACTGTCCAGGGCCAGAGGTCACGATAGGGCTAGCTCCCCGATGCCAAAGCCCGCCACAAATCCCGACATGGGCACATGGCACACGGTCGCATACCTAGCCCCGGCCCAGCACCACACGCAGAGGCCCTCGGCCGCCGGGCCGGTGACGGGAGGCACAAAGGGCCCATCGTAGGGCGACAACCGCACAGCGAGACTGCCTGCCGTGGGCGGAAGGACAGCGGGCCGAGGAAGTGGCCGCGGGGGCGTCGTGGTCGTGTTTGCTTTGGGGGGTGGGGGGTTCCACTCTTGCAAGCTTCGGTTTTTTCCAGATGAGACGAGGCAACAATGGCAAACGAACAAAAACGTCTGCCTTTACGTCTCGCAGCGCAGCGCTCGCCATTGCGTTGTCCCGGCCGGCATCGTCATTTGTTGGAATGGAACCCCGTTCGGCTTTGGTTTGGTCGCGTTTCTCCGCCCACTCCGATGGATTAGAGTCTCTGGCGATCGAGAAACGCTGGCGGCGCCGGCGGCTTTGCACATGTCCCTGTTCCCGTCTTGATGCGCGGAGGCACGGTGGTGACAGAGGACAGAGGACGGACGGAGACCGACCAGGAGACCAGCGGGTTGTTTATTGGAGCACTCTGGCCAGCCCGGGAATCATGGCCTTTCTTGTGTTACCAAAGCCCGAGTTGGATTGGCCTTGTTGTGAGTTATTTTTTTATCACAAAACGCGCGGCATATATTACCAAGTAAGGAAAACATACGTATACGCGTATGCATACGAACACAAACGCAAATGATACAGATGAGGAAGCTGCCCCATCCAAACTATACAAAGGCCCTCAACAAAAAAGAAAAAATAAAAGGAAGTCCTTGAGAGCCTTCCTATTGCGAGCTTGCGAGCCATGTGCCTGCAGTTTGTTCTGAACGTACGACACCACTACGGCCCTGTTCGCTGAGAGGTATCTGGATGAATCTGGAGAAATTTGTGAGAGCATGAACAATATTTTTCAGCCATAAACAATGAATTCTGACTGATTTTTCAACCAGCCGAACGGGGCCTACATATGCATTTGCTTTTGCCATGTACTGACTGCGTCGTCATCGTCCAAATCTTAGAGACGTCAAATGAGAGGATTCCTTTTGGTTGCAAGGAAGAGGCATGCAAACCTCTCGCTCAGGACGGCAAAGATGGGGGACATGGACCTTAAACCAAAGTACAGATATGAGATATCACTCTGGACCGATCGTCTCCGTCTCTGAATAAATCAATCCTTAAAATTATCTTAAATAAAAAAAATCAAGTTTAACTAAATTTATAGGAAAATACATACTCCTTCCGTCCAAAAAATAATGCAACTATAGGACCATACTAGTTAAATTAACTTAATTTTTATTAGGTTTATATAAATAGTATTAGCATTTATGTCTCTATATAATTTTTTGTAAAAATATATTCTATAACTAATTTAATAGAACTTATTTTGTATCCACAATGTTAGTAGTTTTTTATATAACTTTACTCAAAGTTAAAACTGTTTCACTTCTCGAAAAACGAGAATTACATTCTTTTGTAAATATAGGGGTATAATAATATTTATGACACCAAAGAAATAAATTAGAAAAATATATTTTATGATGTATTTTATAATATTAATTTAGTGTCATAAATCTTGGTACTCTTTTCTTACAAATTTAGTTAAACTTAAAGAAGATTGACTTATGATGACCTTAGAAATTGATTTATTTAAGGATAGAGGGTCTAGCACGTAAATTTAATTTATGTTCCCAGCATATAAGTTACCCAAAAGCGCAAGTGTGCGGGCCAAAAGAGGGGCGTGCATCATATTCATCATAGCATAGTCAAGTGCCTATGACGACCAGAATAAATTACTCACTGCTCACTCAAGTGGTAGGTATACTTATTAGTATCTAGCATAGTACCAAATTGGCAGACCAATCAAGTACTATACGATAGGACTAGCAAGCAGCCGCGAAGTAAATTAAAGCAGATAGGAGCAGCCGGCCGCACGCTGGATTGCCAACTCCGGGAAACCGGCTGGAGGATCGCCCACTGCCAACACTAGTACTGGACTAGAAGTAGCACTACTATTGTACTGGTACGGAGCATAGGAACACTACTATATATATAGTTCCACGTAGTGTGTGTTTCTTCGACCGGGCCATGAATCCAGTCGACTTGCCGACTTGGTTCATATATTATTCATTCTGATGAGCGAAATGTGTATTTGTCGTTGCTTCCTTTTTCCAAGCAAAAGCTCATGTCCTGCCCAAGTTGTAAGCTATAAATACTGCATGCCAAATGCCACGCTAGATAGCTACGTATATACTACTATTATTCTGCCTGCTCCCAATGCAATCCAGTCGGGTTTCGTGGTGAACGTACGCAAAGCAGCAGTCGACGCTACCCAGCCGATGCTTATCTGCATTGGGTCTTTCTTGATCGTGTTAGTTTAGACGTTGGATGGATGGAAATACAACAGCAAAGTCTCCTTAATTGACCCTGTTTTTGTTTCGTCATTGTGCCGTCCATGCATGCATGTCTCATGTCTGCCACCGCCCACCGCTATCGACACAGAATTATGCATGTCGATCAGCGACATCTATTACTTTTATAAAGATAAACCCCTAATCTATTCTCTTATACCAGATCAGCGTCATCCTTTTGATCCCCACCATTGCTAGTGATTATCCTAGACGTTTGATGGTGGAGGGACTGACTTCCAGCCTTCCACCGACCCATCACTTATTAGCCACTGCACGTCACTTGAACTTCACCTCCTGCCTCCTCTTGCACTCCCCATCTCACCACTACGTGCTCCTATTTACCAGGACACAAAAAAAAAAAAATGTTAAAATATGCTCACCATGTACTTATTATTAGTTCTATTATATGTTTGGAGAATCAGTTTGTTTCTCTATATAACCACACATTTGTAGGCACCGTAGTAAGTGACTAAGTGCTTTCTTACAATTTATCTTATACGCATCTTAAGTTTTTCTCCGCTTCACTCAAACAACATAATTTTTACTACTAAAAAACTTGAATGGAGTTATCCTCTCATACATTTCCGTGAGATCCCAAATATTATTCTTATACTACAGCATCCTAATTAAATGTCCAACTAATTTAGCCTTTGCTTATCTGAAATCCATGCCTCCCGCAGCAATGCGCAGAGAATTCATCTAGTTTCCTCAAATCCGGCCGCCACCACCTCTCATGCCGCGAAGAATATCTATCCCAAACCCCGAACTCTAAACCCTGACCACATCTAAAGCTTAAAGAGGTATTCAGTGCAGAGAGGACCGATAGAGACCGGCCACGGACTGCGCCATGAACCGGATCAACGATAAAAGGAAAACGAGTGCTGGTGGACACGCACTCTGAATAGTGAATTCTGAAACGCGTATCCATTAGTTCATCCGCTGTCGTCGGTCTACTTTCTACACTAACAAACCAAACGATTGATCCGGACATGACATTTGCACACGCCACACATCTTCCCAACAGCTAGCTGCACGGAGGGACATTTTGCAGTTTTGAACACGCTACACATGTGCTGCATATATAGTTACACATCACTACTAGTGTATCTCTCATGGTCCCTGCTGCCAAGAGTCAACTGCAGGCCGCTTCTTCCACAGGATCGGAGGGCCCCTATACGGCACCTCGTACATGTGCAGCTCCTTGGGCTTGCGCGTCTCCAGCAGCCACCCCAGACGTGGCTTCTGCTCATCATCCGTGGCAGCAGGGACGACGTCGCCATCCCCGGCGGCCTCATCTGCGCGCGAAAGATGCATACATATAAATAACCGAGGTTATATGCATGTTTGTGTTACGGATCAAATCTCTATAGTTCAGATTGATGATGTTTGTGATGATATCAGGTAGGAGCAGCAGCAGGAGGAAGTAGTTGCATTATTATATTACTACCTCCATCGTCGTCGTGATGATGATGGCGGTATGGCAAGTCCTGGTAGTAGGTGCAGTCCCGGTCCCCGGAGTAGGGCGGGCCGAGGACGTCGAGGACCGCGCACGCCGTGGCGGCGGCGAACCGGTGCATGTTCCCGCCGGACTCGGGGAACAGCACCAGGGCGTCGCACGGCGCGCTCAGGTCGGCGTCCACCACCTGCTTCGCCAGCCTCAGTACTACGGGCATATGCAGCCAGTAGCTAGGCAGTCAGTATATATACAGCACAACCAATTTGTCGACCATATGCATATGCATCAGACGGCCTGGTAGACAGAAGAAATTAAACTTACGGCGATCGCCGCCGCCGACGGCGACGGGAGGGCCGTCGGCGTTGACCCAGTCGTACGACGTGACGTGCAGCGAGCCGAGGAGAAGCTTGCTGAACACCGTCATCCCGGGGTGGTCGTGCAGAGGGATCACCGCGCCTGGGGGCAGCAAGAAGATGACGATCTGCATGCAGATATCACAGGTTTTCATTTTCAGAAATTAAAATTTATCGAGGGTCACAGATAAAGAGGATAAACAGGATATATCAGAAATATCGGACCAAATTTAAATAAAATTTAATTTGAATTTAAGTAAATTTAAATAAATTTGAACAAAATTTGAACGAAAAAGATAGATATTTCCTTATCGGCACCTACAGATAATTCGGCCGATAAATTTTTCCCCACAGGCACGCATGGCCAAGAAATACTTCCTGTTTATTAGTAGGCTCGTGAAGTTAACGCATGCATTTCAGTTCAGCTGGATCATCGTATCCCGTACCGAGAAGTTTTTGCATTTGTAAATGGTGATTCGTGTGATGATAGGATTAGGATGTGTTCGAGGGAAGGAAGCCGCGGCGGCCTTGGTGACGGCTCTCAGGTGCACATCTTCTGCTCCCATCTTGTCTGCAAAGGAAAGGACATGCATAATGATTAGCAAACTGAACAAGGCAGACTCATATTGATTGTTGGTAATTTGATATTCCTATATAGAAGCCCGATCGAAATGCACAATACAGGCCGGGCCGAAGCCGAAGCCGAATTGAAGGCTGATGACGAGGGCGTCGATAAGATCGATGTTCCTTTCGAGTAAGAAGTAAGAACAAGATTACTAGCCGTGTAGGCTGATAATAAGCAGGTTTACACATCTCGCATGCACAGATCAGAGATTTCACACCTTTTAAGCTGCACAGCTTTTAGCTTGAAGTGCCAGAGACTGCAACTGATGACAATTACAGTAGCACACAAGACAGTAATTAAACATATATATATACCGAGCATCATGCAATGCGATGGCTAATGATGAGGGCGGGGCGGCATACGTACCGAGGATGTCTCTGATGAGGGCGACGTCGTCGTGCGCCGGCTCGGTCCCGGGGCCTCCGAACGCGCGGCGGCACGCGGCAAGCAGCCTCTGGAGCGGCGCTGGCGCGGTCGTCGCGTCCACCTGCACGCGCCGCCGCACGCTCACGCCGCCGCTCCGGCGCCTGCCAGGTGCATCCCTCCGCCGCCTCTTGACCGCGGCCGGGGCGCCGCCGCCGCCGCTTCCTTCCACCGTCTTCATCAACACGTACGTACGTACAAGCCCCCAGCTGACAGCAGCTAGCAGCAGCGGCAGCAAGAACCGATCAAGATCAAGATCTGCCTTTCCAGCAAATTAAAATCTGGTGTTGCGGTGGGGTTTAAATAGACGGCCGAGAGTTCCCTTTCCGTTGTCCGCAGATCCCTCGCGCCGACGAAAGCATGCAAGAACCGCGGCGCGGCCAGGAACGATCAGGAGCATGCGTGGGGTGGGGAGCAGAGCCAGCACGTTAGTATAAAGGCAGTTCGGACGCAGGCAATCCCAGTGGGTGCCTGGGTGGGTGGTGTGGTGAAAAACCGCGGGCGATGGACGTGATGGGGGCGGGGCGGGGCTTAGCTGGAGGTCCACGACGACGCGGCGCGGTGATACCACCGGTGGATTTTCACGGAACCGTGGTCCGTGGCCTCGTGTTCCAGGACGGGCGATTGGACGATGGACGGAAGCTTTGGTTGGTTGCGCCGCGCTCTGCTCGCCCGGGCGGCCGCCCGCGTTTTCGCGGGGAAACCGCTCAAGCGGCTTAGTGGACCCGATGACTGGATCGAAGGCCAGAGACTGTAGAGAGTGAGAGGAGTGAGGGATCGGACGAGCGGCAGAAACAATGACTCGTTGCCTGTCCGCTTGCATGTGAACGCTACCGACCAGCATCGTTTGTAGTTTGTACTCCTAGCTTTGTTTTTTTTATTTCTGCTATTTTTTTGTCAGCTGATTTTGTTGCTTTGGATCATTCAGATTTTGGGCCGTTGGATGTGTTTCAATATTCGTGTTGATGAGTTTCAAGAGATCTTTAGACGTGGGTGGAGATTTTGTTACCTTTTGCTCGTGTTCCCCTTGTGTTTCCTTCAACATCTCCCCGTGTCGCTTGCTTCCCTCACGGTCTCTCTGGCTGCTCTCCTCTATTTGTTAGTTAGTCTTGGGCTGAGTTATGACATCCTAGAATAAGCAATGTTTTAATTTGTTCTAAGTTAAACTATTTCAAGTTTGACTAAATTTATTGAAAAGAACATCAATATTTATGACATCGAATATATAGAATATTAAAATATATTTCATGATAAATCTAATAATACTTAATTAGTGTCATACACATTAGTACTTTTTTGTATACATTTGGTCAAACTTGAAATAGTTTGACTTAGGACAAACCTAAAACATCACTTATTTAGGGATGGAGGGAGTATTGTCGAGTCCAATTCTGGCTATATATTGAACTCGAAACCCAAATATACATGACCATCCAACTAACAAATCCAGCTTATTTTTTTTGTAAAAAATGTAATTTATCTAGTTATTTGATCTTAATTCTTCATGTTGGTAGTCTTTTATTGCTCGTAGTTTAATTATTATTTATTTAAATTATTATTTTAAGCTTTACTTTATGTTTAATTCCATTACGTTTGAGCTCCTGTTCTGTACGAAACATATTAACCTGTCAATCCATCCAATAAAGTGTCAACCATATAATAACTTCTCCCTCTGTCTCCAAAATATTTGACATTTTAGATTTAGACACGAATATTAAAAATGAGTGAAAACATGTGGTGCACAGAAAGTAAGAAGTAGAGAGATAGAAAGAAATAGAGATAGAGATGTATTGAAAAAAGGAAAAAATATGTATTCAAAGAAGAAAATGGTGCATTGGGAAGCAAGAACGACAACTATTTTAGGTCAAAATTGGAATGTTATAAGTGTTTTTGGCATGGAGGGAATACATAGGATCTCTATATGGAAGAGCATGGCATTGCAAGATGAGTTAAATGCATTGGGGGTCCATGAATTTGTCGTGGTGTACCACTTAGGTTCATAAACTTTGAAAATGTATTTATAGATCATCTAACTTATCAATTAGTACATCGCAGGTCCATATTGCTTCGTCAACACTTTTTGGCTGACATGGCATGACTGCATGGCATGCAATTTTGCATTGTCACCCATGTCTTGCCTTTTCTCTTTCCTTCTAATCACCCATGTCTTGCCTTTTCTCTTTCCTTCTAATCCTGTCTCTCCTCGTTTTCTCTCCCTCCCTCATCTGTTCTTGCCGATGCCGGCATCCAAGCACTGCAGGCACCTTTGCCCGGCGTCTCTAGGCCTGACGGCCATGGCCCGCCGCCCCAAGCCTGCGACCGCGAAGTAGAAGGCGAAGAAGAAGGCCAACGGGGAGTGCAGCGTGGGAGGAAGAGTGGCGGGTTCGACTATGCTGCTGCTTCCCATGCGCAGTGGTGGAGCTCGACGATGTGGCCTTAGCTTCTTCGCCGCTGCGAAGATGCAGAGCGTGCAGCCGTGTAGTATGTGGGGTATCGCTGTTGAACTGCAGTAGGCCCTAGATGCCGGAGCTACCACTACTGGCGCGGTGGGCGTAGCGTAGTAGGCGACAGAGCCTTGCCGGACCAGTGCGGCGAGCACCTGGTTGATGCTCACGCCCATGAGGTTCTCTGCAGCTTTTATTCAAAAAAAAGGAGAAGAGGGTGTATTTTCTAATATATAAGTATATGCATGGGGTTAAATGCAAAAATACAGTCCACTTAGTCTTGTCACGTCAATCAAAAATTGCTAACAAAGCGCTATGGATCTGCAGTGCACCACTTTAGTGATCTATAAATATATTTTGAATTTTATGGACCTATATGGTACACCATGTCAAGTTTATAAACTTCTGATGCATTTAACTCTCAACATCTTCCATATACTCTGAGTTTGTTAGGTCTTGCTGATAAGAGTCTAGAAAGGTGGCAACCATCTCCAGGATGAGATCAACCCCTGTTTCTCAATGAATCCTCTTACAGTGATGTTCTTATCATCACAAAAATCTCTCATCTTACAACTAAAAAACTAAAGAGTAGATACCGTTTTGGTGCGACATTCCAACGTGGGTCCATGGTTTTGCCTATGATCCCGCACCCCTACGCCCGTCCCTTCATCGCCCGTGCGATTTGCACCTAGGGCACCCCCTCGCTTCCCCCTGCGATAGGGTCTCCCCGGCTCTCTCGTGGTCCATACAACGCACGCGAGAAAAGGAAAGGCTCCCACACGTCATCCATCAAACAAAAGCCAGTCACGCGCATGAAAGGGAAACGGCAAAAGCGCTCCCGCTGTTCCTCACTTGCCCCCCCCATCATCGCCCTCACCCACTTTCGCCGTCCTCGCCGTCATCCTCATCCGCCTCCCCGTCGTCGCCCTCACCCGCCATGGTCTCGCGCCGTCCTCGCCGTCGCGTGGCCCTCAGCCACCGTCCTCGATCGCCGTGGAGCGGCCGCCGTCGTTCTCCCTCCGCGCTGCCTTCCTCTGCACAGCGTGGCTTGTGGTGGCTGCAGAGCCCAACGAAGACGGGGAGCAGGTTCGTCGAGATCCACCACCTAGCCACCGATCCACCTCTGCATGTCTGGCGGTTGCATCACGGGCCAAAAACCACAAACAATAATTTTTAATATTGAATAGATCATAATTGTTGTTTGTTATTTTTTAGAACTCAAATCCTTCAAATACCACTTTCCACTGTTAATGTTTATTAAATTATTGCTTAGTATTTACAATCTTTTTTGGCATCCTGCATTGATCATAGAAATCATATTCTTCATGTATTGACTGTAGATGCAACCATATGATTTGGTAGGATATGGTCTTGGAAATGCAACCATATAAGATTGATTCATATATGAGGTAATTTCAAAAAACGCAAAATACTAATATCCAAAAATCATAAGTTGTTGGTAATTTCATTGTTGGACAACTAACCTTTGATTGACTGCAATAGTTTCAGAAGGGCATTCATTATCTTAAAAAAAGAATCGGAAGGACATTGTATTCTTGCGATCATTAGATTTCACAATTACTTTTTGCAGGGTTCGGTTTTATGGAGTAGGAAAGGGAGGTAGAGGTGGACACCAGGGTCCGCGAAACCACCGCAAGAAAGCACACCTATTGGAATAGGTAATTGATCAATATACGATGATTTGGCTTTCAGAATCACGAAAAGCATAGAACCGCACAGCATAGGCATAGCTCATGCTCTTGTTTGTTTACTGTTCAATATGTGTTGAGTTGTAGTTTGGGCAAAGGCTGATAGGAGTCTAGTTGCAGAAACTCAGGTAATTTCACTATTGGCCAACTGATCTTTGATTGATTGCAGTAGCTCCGATGTAAAGAAATCCATTTACCTTTTCCTATTTTGAATGTTAGACCTTTTTTTTGCTTCACCTTTACCTATTCTGAATGTTATATACAATCAATTGATTAGGCTGTTACCTTACTTTAGCTATGTTTACAATCAAATATACAATCTGTGGAGAAGTTTTTCTTAGCCAATTACACTCTGTGTTGTTGTTTGCAGCATTTTGCTTGATGCCAATTTGATCTAGAACTTGCAAAATTGAATCGTCCATGCAAATACTGACATTACTTTCTACGGGCCTACAGCTACATCCTTGCTTTGCTGCTTTTTATTCTCCTAAGACCTATGAATGACTATGTGCACGTTGTGCCAACTAATTTTTTGAGTTTTATATTATTCTCCTGAGTCCTAAGACCTATGAATTATGAAGCATCGTTTGCAAAGACCTGATAATATGTTTACTGGAACAAATCATCTATTGATATTCTCAATCTTTTTAATGTTTAGATTTGGATATTATAAAGCAATCTAAATTTTGCGATAGTAAAAGATTGGCAATCTGATTGAGCAACCATACATAATTAGCAGTTGCTAATATGCTTGGAGTATTATTGTTATTCTCAGTGCTTATGGCTGCAACTAAATTGCAAACTGTGTTTCTGCTCCATATAAGTGATGGGTAACTTCTTGGTATCGTGATGTAAGAATTCAGGCACGTAAGCTAAAATCAGCATATAATAATTAGGCTCCAAGAGGGTAGACTGCTGAAGTACTTAAGCCCTATAATTCTTGTTTCATGCTTTTATTCATCTTAGAATTTAAACATGGGTCCAGCTGCAATATTTCTTTGCTTGTACTAGGTTTTCGTATGCCTATG